GCCCCACCTGAGGCGGCGTGTACCTGACTCTGTCACTGCACTCTGCGGCACCACACTGGCCTTCTGGCTGCTCCCAAAACACAGACGTGCTCCCCGCCCAGTGCGTTTGTGCTGCAGGTCTCCCCGCCTGGAGAGAACTTGCCCCTGACACACACATGGGTAAACACTCACCACTTTCTCATCTTTCCTCGAGTCACCTTCCCAGTGAGGCCCATGCTGACCCTGGGACCTAAAATAGCTGCCTTTGTAACAGCCACTTTTGCTGAATGGATAGAGTGCCACCCTCAGACTGAAGGTCACAGGTTGTATTCCGGTCAAGGGCATGTACCTCGGTGCAGGCTTCATGGGACCCCCGTGCTGGAAGCAACAAATAGATGGGTCTCTCTTACCTGGATGTTTCTTTCTGTCTCTGTCTCTCCCCTCTCCCTCCACTCTCCTTAAAAGTCACTGGAAAAATATCCTGGGTGAGAACCAACAAACAAAAAAGCCATCTTCCCTCCCCCCCACACACGCACAGTGGATCCCTTCCCCACAGCACTCACCATTCTAGCACAGAGGTCTTACTTGCTGTGGGGAAAGGATGCAGCTTGTCTCTGTGCAATAGAACATACGCTCTGTGAGGCCAGCAGCCTGGCCTGCTCTCAGCTCCCTGAGGTGGAGCCGCCTCACTTCCTGTGCCTCACAGACCTTGTGGGTTTTTCATGGAAGGTGAGGCTTTCCACCAACAAGTAGATTGTGACACAGGTGACAGTGAGCATTTTTCACAATGAAGCACATGTTAACTAAGGTGTGCACGTTATTGTTTAGACATGAAACTATTGGACACTGAGTAGATGCCAGTACAGTGTAAGCATAACGTTTATGCACAGGAGAAGCCAAAGCATCTGAGCCTCGGTTTATGTCGATGTTGGAATTACTGTGGGGTCAGGACCTGGACTGAAGAACCTCCAAGGTCCCTGTGCGTTCTAGAGGGAACCACAGTTGTCACACCGACACAAAGTCCTGGCTGAGGGGTGACCATCAGAGAACCCGTCCCTGTTCCACACACAGTGTCCTCATGGCTGTGGCCCCAGCACAGCTGTCCTGGGGCGGCTGCAGCTCAGGGTGCCCCCGGGGCCATCACTGCACCTGCACTGCCCACAGCGCTGCTCCCCTAAACCTCCAGCAGCCTCCCTCCTCACATCCGGGTCCTGCTGGGGTCAGCACTAGAGGGAAGGACGGGAGAGAGGGCTGTGGGCAGAGGACAGTCCCAGCAGGAACTGATCTCAGAGGAGGAATCCTGCTCCTGCTAAATCCTCGGAGAGTTCAGGGAAAGACGGAAGATCAGGACCAGAAGGAGGCAAGAGCAGGAGGAGCCTGAACACCCATCTCCACATGGAGGTCTCCTGTGTGCAGGGGCCCTGGGCCTGTGGGACTATGACAGGCAGAATGACTCCTGTTGCTATAAGACAGGGACACCCAGAGAAAGAGAACAAAACTCACACACAAACACAGTAACAAGCATAACATCCACCAAAGCAAAGAAATAACAAACACCCAGGAGATGAGAGCCAAGGGCGGGACCCAGGCCTGAGCCCAGGCTGACCTGCCCAGGAAGGCCTTGTGTCCAGGGTCCTGGAGATGCGTTGCATTAGGACACCTGACAAGGCCTTGGGGGATGTGAGTCCCTGTGACCACAGGTCCTGGTGGGACAGGGTTCCAATGAGGGACAAGGTCAGAGGAGCAGAGAGGGGACCCGGCAAAGGAGTGACCACATCAAAGCCCACGATGCACTGAGCACTGACCAGGCACAGGCCCCAACCACACTCTGTCCTAACAGCCCCTCCCGTCCCACCTGGAACAACCACAGATACACAAGGTCCTGGAAATCTCTTGATGCTTCAATTTATTTCCGCTCAGAATTTAGGTTCTTCCCCTTTAATTAACCCACAACCCTGAAGGCAACAAGTAAACAAACAAGGTCACAGCCAGAGTCTCATTTCAATATGGAGCAGGAAGTTGCAGCTCAGAGCACTGGGCAGTAAAGGCAGGGATGGGAAGGGCACAGCCCGCCTCTGCTGACAGGAAAGTGTGGGGAGCAGGGCGGGGCCAGCCCCCCAAGAGAGGTTCTTGAGTCAGGAAGTGGGAGCGTGAACATCTTCCATCACTCAGTCCCCACAAGGCAGCTGCCTCACGCTGTGGAGGACAAGCATCCTGAACACATTCAGGTCAGTGGCTGTAACTGGTGACATTCTCAAAGCCCACTTCATGCTCACAGTGTCCCACAGACTCCCCACCACCTAGTCCTCCCCTCTGCCCACCCCTCCCCATGTCAGGGACTCACCTTTAGAAGCCGAGAGAGACACATCAGAGCCCTGGGCGCTGTCACTGCCTGGGGGGGACACAACAGGATGGGGTCAGAGCCCCAGGACAGGAGACTAAGGAGGAACTATGGGGAGGTGGAGGTCTCTCCTATGGCTCCCTAATGCACTGAAACAGGGACTCAGGGGTCCCCCCTCCATACTCACTGGCAGCCTGAGCATAGCTTGCTTCTTTCCCACCTGCGGGAAGAAAACATCCCATGAGAGACCAGTGAGGATGCAGGGCCATGAGGTCCTAAAGGAAGCCCTAGTTCTGGGCCCCAGAGAAGTTTCCAGATCCCTGTGTATAGACCCAGGACAGGATCAGGGAAACTGAGGGAAGTGCATGTGTGGGGACTGGACCCACAGCCCTCCTGGAGGTCTGTGCTCAGCAGGGACCTGCCCTCTGACCTGGGGCTGCTGGGAATGGGTCCCCACCACCAGCGTCATCAGGTGATAAGTGGGTCCCTCATTTTCCCACGGGCCTCACTACAGAGTAAGTGTGAGCAGAGAGCCCCACACTGGCCATCACACGGGTGGGGATGGTGCTTCCCATGAATGAGGCCGGACACACATCTACTTGGGCTTGAACCCCCAGTGGGACAGACACTCAGACCCCACCCCTGCCCACCTGAGCGCCTCCTCCCCCACATCACAGCTCCAGCCACGGCTCCCAGCAGAACCAGGCCCCCAGCGATGCCCATGATGATTAAGATGAAGGTCTGAGGAGGCGACTCTGGGAGGAGAAGGGAAGGGAGGGTGAGGGCCCTGACTCTAGGCCTCAGCCCCGACCCCACTGAGGTCCCCTAGGGCCCCTGCTGCCCTGAGAAGAGGCTCTGTGCCCACGGCCCCTCCTCACCCCATCTCAGGGTCAGGGGCTCGGGCAGCCCCTCGTGCTGTACATGGCACGTGTATCTCTGCTCCTGTCCAGGGGGCACCCCCACGGCTGCCCACTTCTGGAAGCTCCCATCCCCCGCAGGCCTGGTCTCCACCAGCTCCATGTCCTGGGTTTGGTCCTCCCCGTCACGCTGCCAGGTCAGGGTGATGTCCGCAGGGTAGAAGCCCAACGCCCAGCACCTCAGGGTGACCTCATGCTCAGAGACCGGGTGGTGGGTCACGTGAGCCTTTGGAGGGTCTGATGGGAGAAGAGAAAATGCAGAAACTTTGCATCCACCATGGGACCCTCCAGCAGCGCCCATATGACCATCCTTAGAGTGGACAGCCACCTGGGTAGGGGAGGGAGCACACATTCCACACACCTGCCTGGACAGAGGCACCTGGTAGGACCTCCTAGTCTTTAGAAAATTCTAGAGAGACAAAGCCAGGCCAGGAGGCAGGTCTCTGAGGGGATAAAAGAGGTTTGTTTTCCTGACCTGGGTGGAAGATCGTGTCTCAGAAAAGCTGGGGTCAGGCCTCAGACACAGTGGCTGTGGGCAGCGCACAAGGCCTGAGAGAGAAGGTCCCTGTGGGTCCCAGAGCCGCTGCAGGGCCCATGGGAACCTCTGATGGGCTATTTCAGGGGCGTCTCTGTGCACCCCAAGACAGCCTGCACCCCTAACTGTCCCTGAGAGGAGGGGGGTTCCTCTAAGTACCTGACCCCAAGGAGTGGTGTCTGACACTGACCCCCTGTCCTGTCTCCCTGTAGGAGCCCCAGCCCGGTGAGATGGGGCGTCCCCAGGGCCCTGGTACCTGCGCGCTGCAGGGTCTCCTTCCCTTTGTCCAGATGAATGGGGAGCCATGGCATGCAGGTTCCCTCCAGGTAGCTCCTGTAATGCTCTGCCACACCGTCCGCCTCCCACTTGCGCTTGGTGATCTGAGCCACCATGTCGGCCGTGGTCCAGGAGGTCAGGTCCTCGTTCAGGGCGATGTAGTCGGCGCCGTCGTAGGCGTATTGATAGTACCCGCGGAGGAGGCGCCCATCAGGTCCCATGTCGCAGCCATACATGTACTGGTAGGTGTGAGACCCTGACCCCGCCCCGCGGTCAGCCCCGCCCCGCGGTCAGCCCCCACCCCGCGGTCAGGCCCCGCCTCGCCCCCCACCCCCCGCGGCCTCTTCCGGCTGGGGGGCTGGGCGGGTCCTGCCGCCTCGGGGTGACGCTCGGACCCGGACTCTCGGGGCGACCCCAGCCCGTCCGTGGGGAGGGGGGTCGTGACGGGCCCGGCGCGCGGCTCACCGTCCTCGCTCTGGTTGTAGTAGCCGCGCAGGATCTCCAGGCTCCTTCGGAAAGTCTGTGCGGCTCCCTTGAAGATCCGCGTGCTCCGGTCCCAATGCCCCGGCCTCTCCTGCTCCACCCACGGCTGCTGCATCCACGGCGCCCGCGGCTCCGCCCTCGGATCCCGGGCGTCGCTGTCGAACCGCACGAACTGCGAGTCGTCCACGTAGCCGACGGCGAGGAAGCGGGGCTCCCCGCGGCCGGGCCGGGACACCGCGGTGTAGAAATACCTCATGGAGTGGGAGCCTGGGGGGCGGACGGAGGGCAGGGCCGGGGCTGGACACGCGCCTTCCCGGCCCGGTCCCCTCGCTCCTCCCCGCACCGCCGCCCCCTCCGACCCCGCACTCACCGGCCCAGCTGGGGGTCAGGACCAGCGCCCCCGGGAGCAGCAGGAGGAGGGAGGGGGGGCCCAGGACCCGCATCCTTGGCGTCCGGGAGACCGTCTGAGCCTGGGCGCTTCTGCGGAGGAGTTATAACCGGGAGCCCCGGGGACGCTGATTGGATGCTCTGGAAACCGTTCAGCCAATGAGAGTGAGAAGTGAGGCCGCGTCACGAGTCTCCAGGAAGGAGGCGCAGATACAGGGCGCTGGGGAGTCCCCACGAGGGAGCTGCCCCCCAGACTCTGTCCTCTGCGGAGCCCTGAGCGCAGGCCTGGGCCCTGGGACTCGGTCCTGCCCCTCCTCCTGCGCGGGGCGCCCGTCACACTGTCCCCGAGGCCTGGCCCAGGCTCCGACCGAGGAAACAGGGGAGACCCCAGGCTGGGCCCGCCCGCCACCTCTTCTGGCCCCGCAATCCCTCCCTTGGAACTCACGCCCCGCCCCGCCCCGCGCACCCTTCCCCTGGGAAGCTCCCCGCAGGGAACGCGGTGCGGGCGCGGGAGCCCGTCCTGCGAGTGGAGGCGGCGGGCAGGGCGTCCTCTCTAATCTCCGCGGAGCGCTGCCCGAACAGGGAAAAGAGAGAGAGTCAGAGACCAGACTCCCGGGGCCTAAGGACCACAGCGGGGGCACAGCCTGGGAAAGCGAACACCCGCGAGCTCCTCCGTAAAAGACGGGGTGCGGGCCCCTGGGAACGGAATGTGTGTGAGCAGCGCTGCAGCCGACTCACAGCGCCCCTCATCCCGGATCCGCACGGGCACATTGATGTGGGACTAACGCCGCGTACAGCGGTCTTCACTGTGCACCCTGAGTGTCTGAGCCCCCCCCT